CCAGAGAAAGAGAAGACGAGGAAGAGGAGTGAGGTGGAGGTGGAGGAGTTGGGAGGCAAAATAGAGGAAGGGGCAGAAGAGACATTCGCGCGCTCCTGACGAAACAAGAGCCACACTTGTAGACCATGCTCTTAATCATGGGCTTAGAGTGGCCGAGGCTGGTCGAAGTGTGCAGCCAAATGTTGGGAGAACAACTGTGTCCTCAATGTTCAGACTTTTCGTGGACAGAACAGGTATGTAACCAAACAATAGGCACTGTACTGTAATACTATGCTTTCTGTAATGCTTCATACAATATTGCAGTATTCCACTTGCATTTTACAATATACTCTAACTATAGTTTATACAGTGACAATGTATCTTACTCAATTTTGGGTATTGTGTAACTATATTTTTTTCACATAGGACTGCAAGACAACTTCACAGGGGTCGCAGAGGGCCCCTTTTCACACCTGAACAAGAGGAGGCTATTTGCACCATAGTTGCAGAAAACAATGCCATAAGACTAAGGGAGATAAAGAGTGCCATTATTGAGGACAACAACATCTTTGAAAACATCCAAACAGTCAGCATCTCAACCATTGATAGGGTGCTGAAAAGACACCAGATGAGTATGAAGCAGCTGTACATTGTTCCATTTGAAAGAAATGGTGAAAGTGTGTAGGAGCTGTGCTACCAGTATATACAGGTAAAACATGTATGAGCATGCAGTAACTGTACCTCACAGTAAACAGAACAACATTGTATAGTGATATACAGTACAGTGTGACCTTTACACGTTTGCTGTGGCTGTAGAAAAGAAAATGCAATATGTGCTGTATACATTTGATGCAACTGTATCTTGTCCAAAATTAAAATGCCTGTCATTTCTAAAACTCATTTTTTGTTCTCTGGATATAATGTATAATGGAACTGGAAGCAAGTGAACCAGCCCACAGCTTCATCTACATGGATGAGGCCGGCTTCAACCTAACAAAACGCAGAAGGCGTGGTCGAAATATCATCAGCCACAGAGCTACAGTTGATGGACCAGGCCAGCGGGGTGGGAACATAACCATTGTTGCTATCTCTGAGAATGGTGTGCTAACGCATACTCCCATTATTGAGCCATACAATACAGAGCATCTTATCACCTTTCTAGACACACTCTACAGGGGTAGATTGGAGATGGCTTGCCAAAATATGTGATGGTTTGGGACAATGTCAGTTTCCATCTCTCCAACATCATCAGGCAATGGTTTGCGACCCACAACAGGATGCTGATGGAGTTCCTTCCCCTCTACTCTCCATTTCTTAACCCAATTGAGGAATTTTTGTTCAGCATGGAGGTGGAAAGTATATGATCGCCAGCCATATACACAGACGACCCTTCTGGCTACCACGGATGCAGCATGTGATGACATCACAGCAGATGCCTGCAGAGGCTGGATAAGACACTCTAAAAGATTCTTTCCACGATGCATCGCAAGAGATATTCGCTGTGATGTGGATGAGAATTTGTGGCCCAACAGACTGGGACTTCGACTGGCAGCCTCTTGTCGTCAGACTTGGACGAAGCCAAGTCTCTCGACTGGGAGAGGAGAAGGTCGTGCTGTGCTGTGGTGCCAGCATCTTTTCCAGAAACGTAACCGTCTCTTGAGGGTTGAACGCCGAAGCTGGTGACAGAAATCGCATGCCTCATGGTCCACCAATGCTCTCCTGGTGTGGACAATACCCAGACATACAGGACACGCATCGTGCTGGACGTTGTTGTGCAGGGAGAAGCCGCACCCCTGAGGACAGGGGCGAACTGAAGACTTCTTCTCGACTTAGGCTTGGTGCTCATATTGAGACACAAAGCTCAACTTTAGCAAGAAAATTCAAAATCAGCGCTCCGCGGGCAGCCACACTCATTACAGTAGTAATGGTGGCTAACACCAACAAAAGGAGTTAAACCAATTCCAAGCCGACAGTAGCCTTACAAAACAGAGCTAACTAGTGGTAGCTTGCTAGTCTGTGAGGTGTTCTTAGTGAGGTGAAGAGCGTAAGAACTGAGGGATGACTGTGATGACAGGTATTTATATGTGTAGGCAGGGCCTCACATATGTCATCACAGATCATCTGCTGTAAAGGCGTGAATAGAGGTGTCTTTAGTCAGGTCCAGCGGGGAGTGATATCCCATACTATATGTGTTGTACTGAGGGAATCAACTGAAAGGGAACTAATATTTTGTTGAACAACCCTTTGAGGCAATCACTGCAATCAAGTGTTTTCTGTGACTCTCAATTAGACTTCTGCACCTGTTGACAGGTATTTTGATTTTGGCCCACTGTTTATCATTCATCATCATTTTTTATTTTATTTTATTTTTTGCTGTGGTGCCGTGAGAGTGGCAGCCAGTTAGGGTTAGGGTTACCTACTCTCTGTGTTTTTAGTTTTTTACTTTGGTTTTTCTTCTATCATTTTAATATTTTAATTTCACACAGTTGTACCACATTTGTGTGGAAACAGTGGTGATGCAGATGGTGTTTTTGTTTGGACGGATTTCACTTGGTCAGAGCGCACCAAAGCTTGAGGGAGAGTGGTAAGAAGAAAGGCGCAGGACTCTCCATGTATGTGAATGAGAGATGGTGTAATGCTGGGCATGTTACCGTTAAAGAGCGGCACTGCACGAAAGATGTTGAACTGCTGGTGGTTGGTTTGCGGCAGTTTTACCTGCCGAGGGAGTTTTTGCACATCCTGGCGACTGCAGTTTACATCCCCCCTTCGGCTGATGCTGCTGCAGCCTGTGAACTCATCCATAGTTCAGTGTCCCAGCTGCCAACATCACACCCTCAGTCTCTGATCGTCATCTCAGGAGACTTTAATCATACATCGCGCTCTACCACTCTCCCCACATTCTGACTGTATGTAGACTGACTTGGACCTGCTGTGTGCGGACACTGGGAATGCATATTACTTAATTATTTTTATTTTCTTGTACTTTCTTTCTATGTTTTTGGATGCTGCTGTTTACAGTCATTTCCCAGGTCTGGGATAAATAAAGTATATTCTTTTCTGTCAGCAAAGTGCTCTAATTTGCTGGGGACAGATTTGTTTGTTTTTCAAATTATTTTTTTCAACCACAATTCAAAAGCCATGTCTTATTTTACTAAATTATAATTTAGCAATTTTTTATTTGTCATAAATTTTCTCAATTTCTAGTTATGTGAGTGACTATTGTGAATTTTGCCGTTTCTTTAATGGAAGGGTATGAATAAATTTGAGGACAACTGCATTTCTTCTGTGATAAGGTCCCATGGGCCCCACCAGAAGAGGTGGGACTTCATCCATGGAAGGAATATTAAATTTGATTTTTTCAAGGGCCATGTTTGCTCAATAAGAGGAGGCCAGGGGACATTTTAAAAATGAAATGAATGAACATTAAAAAGCCTGAAACTCATTTATCTTTGAAATCATTTATTTTCAAGTTAACTCAGTAACAGCCAAAGGACATTTTTGAACATTTGCTATATGAATAACTCAGAGTTAATCAGTACAAGTGAGTTGGCACTCTCTTGTAAATTGAGTTTCACTGATCTGCTCTGCTGTTCTCTTTGCTGTTGAAGTGTGTGGTGTCATCATCTGGCAAGAGACTTATCTAAAATAAATCATCCACAAGTGGTGTGGATGTCATCCAATTGCCAGCTTGTCCAGGACTTGCTGCTTCAGCAAATTCAGCCCAAGAGCAAAGTGTTTGATGCAAAAAGATGTTTCTAAAAAACACAAAATTTCATCACAGGATGTGCAGGTACTTCTGCTGCTGTCGGTGTCAACGTGCTGCATCAGAAAGAAATTGTATAGATTTGAGCTGCACGGTAGGCTTGTCAGAAAAAACAGCCTTTGCCTGTCTAAAAAGACAGTTTGCATTGGACATACAGGCAAAGATCAGGCCTTTTGGGATATTGAGGTCCGAATAGGCAAATCAAAGACAGACATGTGTGGCCACTGTAACAGTAGACATGACTGGCAGCCTTTTAGTGGAAGAACCTCAGACTAGCAGTGATGCCTGCTGGTGGAAATGTTGCGGTTTGAAGTTGCTTTGCTGCTGCAGGAACTGGCCTGTTCTCAGGAGTTGTCAAAACTTTCAGCAGGCCGGTATCATAGAGATATCAACATAGAGACTGTTGGGGATGATAGCAGGTTCGGAGGCCTTTTTCCACATAACTATTACATCTGTTGATATTTTTGTTGAATATATGATTGAAAAGTTAATTTTCTTTACGTTGCTGTTTAAGTATGTCACCTTTATCTGCAGGCACTATTCCAAAGAGTGTTTGCTTGTCTAAGTATGTCAACAACAACAAAAAATAGTTTGGATGTACTTATTTTTTCACATGACTGAGCATAGTTTATGTCTGGAAAACAAAGAAGCCCCAAAGAAAGCTTTATTTTCTTTGTCCCTGCTGAACTTAACATTGAATGCTGCTGTTGAAGGCCGCAGTATATGTGAGAAAATATTCATGAAAGACACCAACGTTGTCAGCACCAGAAAAAGATCAGTGAATAAATTAAAATGGTCCCCCAAGGCTGTGAAAATTTAATGTTATACCTAACAAGTACTGGTTGCTTACATCATAACACGGTAGAAGGGGCCTGCTGTGAGTGCTGACTTCTCAGTGTGGCAGTTTTCTTCTGGCAAACGAGGACGTCAGAAAAAGTGACACTCCAGAAAAAGATGGCAAAGAAACAGAAAGGAGGAATCACTTCTTACATTGCTGCTTGTTGTTCAGTGTTGCGATGCTTATAATGCAGCCTTTAATTTGTCCATCCGTTTTTTATTGCCATCAAAAAAGAAATTTTCATTTTGTGAAGCGCTATTCAGGGTGGGACAGTCTTATCTTTATCTTTGCTGTCGCATTTTTGTGTTAAAATAGTGCCACAGATTTAACACCTGCTTTTCTTTTTAAATACACTGTAGGTGCAGTGGCTGTTTCTATTTATTCCCATCTCTGGACATTGGTGCTGTGATTTCTTTCCAGTCATACAGAGGACAACACCTCCCCTGATACTTCCCTCTCCCTCTCCCTGTCTCTCCTCTCAGCTCTCTCCACATCCATGACAGTGACGAGAGGCTCCTGGGCTGTGACGGAATCCTGCCGATGCTTGGTAGCAACGAAGGGCGTCTTGTTGAAGGTCTCTGAGAAATGTTTCCTCCGCTCCGGGTCTGGACAGAACAGGTATTCATACAGGGCTGCAGCCAGAACGCCACCCAGAGGTGGACCCACCCAGTACACCTAGAACACAGAGACAGAAAAAAACTGGTCTGACACTGCACATATCAAAGTCTACACTTCGTATCCTTAAATAAACACTTGTTTGTTTCCTGTCATCAACCAACTTCAGTTTATTTGTAAAGTACATCTAAGGTCATTATTTATTCATTTAAAAAATTTAAATAATTTTAAATTTAAGATATACACTTTTAAAAATCCATAGTTTAACCTTGTGAACCCAAAGGATGCCATCAGGTTTGAAAAGCATGTTATCTTTTTTTCTTTTTTCTTTTGGACAGATTTTTCAACTTTTTGATGGTTATTGAACTAATTTTATGTGAGGTTTAGTTTTGTCAGGAAAACTCATCTAAGCTTAAAATGCTCTGCTCATATTTTTTGCACGTGTTACAGTAGTATTTGTTTTTGTTAATTTTTATTGCTTTTTTAAAATTTAATTTTACTTTTTTGTTATTATTCTTTGCTTTTTTGTTGTCTTTCTTTACTTGTCAAAACAAAACAAACCAAAAAAATCCTAAAAAACTGTAAGATTGTAAATTGTACAAATGGAAATCTTTATATTGTATTCTTCTTTTTCCCTGCTTGCTTTTTTACTTCTTATTTTTATTTCATTTTTTTCTATTCTTATATAATTATTTATTTAATGTTGTGCTATTATGATAAAACAATTTCCCTTGTGGATCAATAAAATTGATCTAAGTCAAAGTTGAAGTCTAAAATGTGACATTTCATCAAAATCACTTTTTTTCTGATTGTTACATATAGGGCTGCAAGGTGGCGCAGTTAGTAGCACTGTTGCCTCACAGAAAGATTCGCATTCCGGTGGGACGTGGAGTTTGCATGTTCTTTGAGTTCTTGGAGTTTGCAGTGTGGGTTCTCTCCGGGTTCTCCAGATTCCTCCCACAAGGTCCAAAAACATGTTGAGGTTAATTGGTGATTCTAAATTGTCCGTAGGTGTGAATGTGAGTGTGCTTGCTTGTCTGTCTCCAAGTGTAGCCCTACGATAGAGTGGCGAACTGTCCAGGGTGTCCCCTGCCTTCGCCGTGAGTCGGCTGGGATAGGCTCCAACCCCACCGCAACCCTAAGCCATATCATAACTAGCAGCAACCAACAGTTATGTGACAAAAATATCAGGACTATTGGGCTGAAGTGCTGTGTTTACATATAAAGCAGAACGGAGAGAAGTATGGAAAAACTATTTAACATGTTTTTCTCCACAGAGGTCTCATATTATTTTTCTACTAGTGTTTGATTTTTGATTGTATAATGTGTATCAGAAAGCCATTTGTCTGCTTTGGAACAGCTAAATTGAGAAACATCCAGCCAATTGCACTGCTGTGTTGTGAAACTGTGTGTAATCATATTAGAAAAATAACCTGCAGGGAAAAAGCTTTTTAAGTCTTATTGCATTTTTTAGATAGAAAGATGAAATCTGACCCCGACAGTGGAGTTCGAAGCAATTTAGTTTTCTAGCTTCAAAATTACTTTCAGAAAATTCAAATGCAACATCTCTTTTCCAAAAAAGAGCTATTGTTACTGTGGACAGTCCACATGTTACACAATGTGTAGTCTGAGCCTTGACCTCACTGCATTACGGCTCTCCCTCGTCACAAATGATAAAATGATTTAGACAAGCCTTATATTTTTCATGCAGTTTGGCTAAAAAATATTCAATTTCCTGCAGCTTCAAGACACAGAAATTTACTGCAATGGGTAACTGATGTCTAATGAAGACGAGCAGATATTGTTCATGCAGATAGAAACAGATCTAGTGATGACTTGTCCTATATTGAAAAAGTCAACTGTCCGCTGTTTGATGCTGGGCAGGCAGTGTAACACAACACATCTGCTGCTGGAAACAATGCTATCAGAGTGATGAGCTGTGGTCCAGAGAGCAAAATAGTGAGCTAAAACTACTGTAAAGCTCCATTAAGCTGAGGGGAACTGCAGATTCTCTCTCGATTAGAGTATTTATTATATTATAATAGAGTATTAACTTCTTTGCATGCTTTGAAGCATCAAACCCGACAATTAGAGAAAGGACTGGTCCTTCTCCTTCATCTGTCAGGCCAGCTTAAAACATCAGCGCAGCAGACACACGAAAGACCCTAGCAAGGGTCCACCCATGAAAAGCAACAGGACCAGACAACATCCTGGGACTTGTGCTCCTAGTCTGCACTGATGAGCTTGCAGATGTGCTGAGTGAAATTTTCAATATCTCCCTCAGTGAGGCCATTGTACCCAGATGCTTCAAAACATCCACCATAGTTCCAGTGGCAAAGAAATCAGTTGTAGCCTGTGTGAATGACAATGGCCCCATCGCACTGACACCGACTGTGATGAAGTGTTCTGAATGGCTCATCAAACCACACATCACAGCCAGCCTTCCTGCATCGCTTGACCCTCTTCAGTTCGCTTATCGTCCCAACCGTTCCACAGAAGATGCAATATCCACCACCTTGCACTCAGTCATCACACACCTGGAAGACCTATGCTAGAATTCTGTGCATTGATTTCAGCTCAGTCTTTAATACTATCATCCCCCAGAGACTAATAGAGAAACTCCTCCTACTCGGCCTGGATACCGCCACATGTCTCTGGGTCCTGGACTTTCTGACCAAAAGACCCCAGTCTGTCTGAGACGGAAAGAACATCTCCAAGTCCATCATGCTGAGTACTGGATCTCCTCAAGGCTGTGTACTCAGTCCACTCCTGTTTACACTGCTAACACATGACTGTACAGCCACACATGAGGGGATCCACATCATCAAGTTTGCTGATGATACCACAGTAGTGAATGCAGTCATGAATACAAGAACAAAGAATCAATGTACAGAGATGAAGTGAAACACCTAGAGGGCTGGTGCAGTAAGAACAAACTGCTGCTTAACGTAGACAAAACGAAGGAGATGATCATTGACTTCCGAAGGTCACATCCTGAGCATGCTCCCCTCAGCAACAGCAGCTGTACAGTGGAGAGAGTGGAAAACGTCAAATTCCTCGGAGAGCAGATCTCGCAGGACCTGAGCTGGAATAAAAACACTGCAGCGATCATCAACCAGTCCCAGCAGAGACTGCATTTCCTGAGGAAGCTGAAACAAGCCTCTCTCCCTGCCAGCATCCTCAGGACCTTTTACAGAGGTTTGGTGGACAGCATTCTGACATACTGTATCTCAACTTGGTACTCCAGGTACATGGTCCATGGTACTCCTGAGTGACTGTCTGCCTGTGTACCGAACCCTGCCTGTCATTAAACCTGCCTTTTTGCCTGAACCGTTCTGTGTCCAGCATTTGTGTCCACCTGTCTGTCAAGTGAGTTCATGACATAAGTCAGTTTAGTAATTTATCTGCTCTATAAATTCTTCCTGAAAAGTGAAGGCAAAAAAATTTCTGGATTTTTTATTTATTTATTTATTTTTTAATATTATTTAGTTAAATATACTGATAATGTAGTGTTATTTAAAGCACCGTTACCCAGTGATTTTCCCAGGACCATGTGACCATAGCTGGACCGAAGGATCGCGCAGGATTCATACTGGCTCCAGTGTAGGGAATCTGAGGGAACAATCACAGCTGAGAATGTACCAGTCTTAATGTATGATCTTGTAATTACCCATAAATAAGGACACGAAAACATTTATTCATCCACAGTTACAAGTCCTCCAAACAAAATAAAAAAGTAAAATAAAAACTCTTATTTAAAGGCTTTCTAAAAAAAAATCCAACTCTAACTCAGGTTCTATGAACATGCAGAAATAAAATGATGGAGGGTTTGTTGTGTAAGCCTATGTGGGGAATTTTATGTTGATTGTGACATTAGAGAGAAGAAGACTGCTACTTTATGAGGACTTTAAAGGACAAAAATGGTATTTCCCATCATCTCTGAATTTAACCAAACATCATTTGTCTTTTAAAAGTTTAACCAATAAGTGCCGAGACCTTCACAGCACTTTTTCAGTGTCTACCATCCCGAGAACGAGACTCAAAAAGATTCTACAGGGGTGGTTTTTGTAGTTAGAACTCACACAAAGGAAAATGGCCTAATAAGACAAGAAACCACTTCAAAATGTTGGAGCTTTTGGAGAGGACCTTGCAGATCCCTGACCACAAAATCCCTGAAAGTCTGTGGGAAGATCTTAAAAGATACTCTGTGTGTGTGTGTGTGTGTGTGTGTGTGTGTGTGTGTGTGTGTGTGTGTGTGTGTGTGTGTGTGTGTGTGTGCGTGAGGGAGCCCAAAAATACAGCAGAACTTCAAGGGATCTGCTAGAAAACATGGCTGAATATTCCTAAATCAATGACAGAAAGAGCTTTGGCTGGCTATAGAAAAGGGATTGCCACCTGTGATGTCTGCCTACTGTTGAACAGTTTTCCTTTTAAGATAAGATCAAATAAAACTTTATTAATCCTGAGGAAAATTCCTTTTTTATGCTCCTCTTTTAGCTTCCTGACATACAGTTTGGCATTTTCAGTGTATACTTGCTGAAGGGATTCTGCTTACTTTATCCATCCATCCATCCATTATCTATTCTCTGCTTAATCCTCACAAGGGTCGCGGGGCTGGAGCCTATCTCAGCCGACTCAGGGCGAAGGCAGGGGACACCCTGGACAGGTCGGCAGTCTATCTCAGGGCTACACTTGGAGACAGACAACTAAGCACACTCACATTCACACCTATGGACAATTTAGAATCACCAGTTAACCTCAACATGTTTTTGGACTTGTGGGAGGAAGCCAGAGAATCCGGAGAGAACTGTCATGTCTGTCAAGTCTCTGTCCATGTGTGCACATTTTATGTCTCGTCTTTCCTATTTTATTTTGAAATCACTTCACCGGTTGTTTCTGTTCCAGTTTTACTTCCTGCACCTGTCTTGTCACACCTGTTCCCTGATGGCTTCCCCACACCTGTTTCCCATCTTCCCTCATTACCTCGTGTATACAACCTTGTGTGTCTCTCACTGTCTCGTCGCCAGTTCGTTGCACTTAACAGTCCTCGTACCAGCGTTACTCAAGTCAAGTCACAGTCTGTTTTGTTCACGACTTTGTTTCTGCTTTTTGGACCTTGCCTTTTTGCCTGCCGATTTTTGGATACCTTTGTCTGTTGGACTGAATTCCTGTGTACCGAACCCTGCCTGTCATTAAACCTGCTTTTCTGCCTGAAACCTGTCTGAGTCGAGCATTTGTGTTCATGACAAGAGCCCACGCTGCACAGGGAGAATATGCAAACTTCACGCAGAAAGCCCTGCTTACTTCATTTCACTTTAAAAATCAAGATGGGCCTAAACTTTTGTGTGCGACTGTCTATATTGTTTCTGGATTACTCTTAATGATTACATAGGAAAGCCCTGTTAAAGGATATATCTGGTTATTTAGGTGAGAAAACTTTCTTGCACAACATCAACAAAATGTGAATATGATAACCAATATGATGACAACATTCACTGGAGGGTGGATGAACTGGGATGGATTATACAGGTGTTCCTTTTTTTCAGATATTTTTTAAAGTTTTTAAAATTATTTTCAAAATGGCACCGTTGATAATATGGAATATTTATACCATGTCCACCAGAGATGTAAGCAGATGCCATGTAATCTATTAATGCAGCGTTTTAAGCCTCTTGTAAGTTGATGAATAGATTTACCACTGTGCTGCCTTTGTGTTGAGGTACTTACAGCAAACAGGTGACCGATACACACTGATAGGCCAATAGCCAAGGCAGAGGAACCCTTCAGGTCTTTACGTTTGTGGTCACAGGTTGCAAACACAGTGAAGACGAGCTGGAAGGTGATGAAGAGCTCTACAACCAGGGCGTTTCCCACAGAGATGCTTGGATTCACCTGCGTGAGGAAATCAACAGCCAAATAAACCATTTAGAAATGCTTCCTCAGATATATAGTGGTGTAAAATAACCAATGAACACTTCACTGCTATCCCTTCTGCTCTTACCCCTGTGATCCCCAGGCCACTCCTAACTGAGGCCGGAGTGATGCCGTACAAGATGGCTGCCCCCACTATTGCTCCTACACACTGGGCCAGCAGGTAGAAGACTGCTTTGGCCAGACTAAGCTTCCTGGTCACCACCATAGCTAGTGTAACTGCCGGGTTGATATGAGCGCCGCTGATGTGTCCGAAGCACTGCACCATGGTGGTGATGCTCAGGCCAAAGCAAAGTGAAATGAGCACCAGGTTGGGAGGATGGACATCCTGCCCCACAGCACCCCACTTTATGGTTGAGCTGAGGCTGAACAGGACGAAGAGCATCATGGCGAAGAACTCGGCCGCCACGCAGCGCCAGAACTCCTGAGTCCAGACACCCTTGAAAGCAGCCATGGCTTTGTCTCGAGCACAGCAAGATGGAGGCCAGATCTGACAGTGTGGTGAACAGAAGGGAATGCAACACCTCCTGGAAAGGATCAGAATCAGAATCAGAATCAGAAACAGATTTATTGCCAGGTATAGTTTACACAATACGAGGAATTTGTTCTGGTGGGTTGGTGCAACAATACAACAATAAATATAGAGTTGTAGCGGACACTGCTTGACTTTCTATGGAATACCAAGCAAGGAAACACACCAGGTAATGAGCATTGTTTTGTTTAAATTCTGGACCTATTCCCAACATAAAACTGCCACCTTGGACACTAGGCAGAACGGGAAACTCAGGAAGAACCACCATTACTGTCACAAAAGAGAATTACAGCAGCAGCCTGTGGTGGTCAACTTCACTGTTTTCTACTCCACTGGAAAAATGACGCAACATGCATTTTCTTACAGCATGGACGCTCATACCTCTTGCAGAGACATGAAACAACAAGTGAAACACTAGCACGTTGGAAACAACAACTTCAAAGGCACAGTGACTCTCATTGAGGTATGAACAATCCTTCTCTGGACACTCTACCCCTATTCTTACCAATGGGGATGGCAGCATGCAGGAGGAAGGGAAGCTGATAAGGATCAGTCGTAAAACTGATGCTGCTTACCAGTGAGAGAATCTGTAGTGAGGCCTCACACTTTTACATTTATGTTTACACAGGCTAAATGACCATTTTCCCAATCTCTGTTTGGTGTATTCATAACTGCATTGATCTCAGCAAGAAGTCCTTGTATCACCTATCCAAGAATCACATCTGTAGGTGGTATGAGAACCAAGATAACTTTTTACAGAAATATTCATGCTTCTGTCACCGTAAATGGTCCAGTGAGGACTACATTACCATAAAAACTTGTTACCGCTGAATAAATGCATCAATGTTTAATCATAGGTATAATCAGTCATGTGGGAATCAATGCCTCACCCCATGCGTTATGCTTCCATAGCCCAGGCTATTGTTCATGATGTATGTCACTGTTGTTTCATTTCATGTTCATGGGTCATGGTGAGAGACGGATTTATCGTGTTCGCATCCATAGTACATTTTCTTTACTTAAGTTAAGATATGCAGCCTTCTCTCCTCTTCCTAACAAAGAGAGGAGGGTTAAGTTACCAAGAGTCGCGGGAAAATCCTCTCCACGCCTTCATATATGCCCACCTGGACGAAGAGGATAAAAGCAGGAAACTTCTTTTGCTCCCTCTCTTGCTCCTGCTTTGTTTTTGTTCGTGCTTCTTCTCTCTGGCTGCTCTTACTTCTCTGCCCCTTCATGTGGTCTTTTTAGGCCGTTTTTGTTTCTCTTCATGTATTTTAATTTTTGTATTTCGTTCATGATTGTAGAATAGTTAATAAACCTTTCTTACTTAGACCAATTCACGTTTTTGTGTCTTTCTTTGTGTGGGACCTGAGGTCAATTTAATCAGTGGTTACGGCTTTCAGATAACAGACTGATAAATGTGATTTTAAATAAAGTCTCTTTGAGATTTCATTTAAAATTATTCCTCAGTAAACTGAGGTGGTGCCTCCAAATCAACGAGTGCAACAGAACAACAAAACATACTTCTAACATACGTTACAGAGTAAACAATAAAGATAGAGTAAAATAAAAGTAACGAAAAATAAAAATAACTGTAATAGTGTAAAGCAGAAGCAAAAAAAAATGTTGTGGAGTGAAGAATTAAAGTTAAATTTAAATAAGAACCATAAAACTGTACTATTATTTACAAGAATATTGAAGGTGCAGATATATTGATATTTACATTTATACAGATTATCAAAAGAGTGAAAATTGAAAGTGTGGATATGCAACATGGCCAATAACAGTGCAGATGATGTGATGATGAGCAAAGAGAGAAGTAACACAGTAATGTAATGTATGTAATTCATAGAGGGGGCAGGAGGGGTCAGTGGGGGTCCTGTGCCTCGTTCATGAGGCTGGTGACAGATGGAAAGAAACTGTTCTTGTACCGTGAGGTTCTGGTCCTGACAGACCGAAGCCTCCTGCCAGAGGGGAGTGTTTGAAAGAGTTTGTGTCCAGGGTGGGAGGGGTCGGCCACAATCTTACCTGCACACCTCAGAGTCCTGGAGGCATGCAGGTCCTGGACAGAAGGCAAATTGCAGCCAATGACCTTTTCGGCAGAGCGGGTGATACGCTGCAGTCTGGCCTTGTCCTTGGCCGTTGCTGCAACGTCCATCCATCTATCCATTGTCTTCCGCTAATCCGGGGTAAGGTCGCGGGGGCAGGAGCAGTGCCCCCGCGACGCGAAGGAGCAGTGGCTCTAATCCGAGCTCCCTCCGGATGTCCGAGCTCCTCACCCTATCTCTAAGGCTGAGCACAGCCACCCTGCGGAGGAAGCTCATTTCGGCCGCTTGTATCCACGATCTTGTTCTTTCGGTCACGACCCAAAGCTCATGACCATAGGTGAGGGTTGGGACATAGATGGACTGGTAAATCAAGAGCTTCGCCTTGTGGCTCAGCTCTCTCTTCACCATGACGGTCCGGTGCAACACCCACATTACTGCGGACACCGCACCGAGCCGCCTGTCAATCTCACGCTCCATTTTCCCATCAGTCGTGAACAAGATCACGAGATACTTAAACTCCCTCGCTTGAGGAAGCAACTTCCCCCCATCCGGAGGTGGCAATCCACCAGTTTCTGGCAGAGAACCATGGCCTCAGACTTGGAGGTACTGATCCGCATCCCTGCTGCTTCGCATTCGGCTGCAAACCGCTCCAGTGAGTGCTGAAGGTCACAGTCTGATGAAGCCAACAGTACCACGTCATCTGCAAAAAGCAGAGACAAGATCCTGAGGTCCCCAAACCGGACACCCTCCTCTCCCTGACTGCGCCTTGAGATCCTGTTCATGAAAACCACAAACAGGATTGGTGACAAGGGGCAGCCCTGGCGGAGTCCAAAAACCACTGGGAACGTGTCTGACTCATTGCAGAGAATGCAGACACAGCACTTTGGTTGTACAGGGACCGTATGGCTCGTAGCAGCGAGCCTGGTACCCCATACTCCCTCAGTACCCCCCACAGAGTTCCTCGGGGGACACGGTCATAGGTCTTCTCCAGATCCACAAAGCACATGTGGACTGGCAGGTCGAATTCCTATGCCCCCCTCAGCAGCTCCGCAAGGGTAAAGAGCTGGTCCACTGTTCCACAACCGCAAACTTCAGGAGCTTGACAGACTGGTGGCTGGAGGTGCAGCTGTTTGTGTACAGCGAGAAGAGCAGAGGGGAGAGAACACAGCCCTGAGGAGATCCAGTGCTGATGGTCTGAGATGTGTTTTCCCAGCTTCATGTGCTGCCACCTGTCAGACAGGAAGTATGTGATCCACCTGCAGGTGGAATCTGGCATGTTCAGCTGGGAGAGCTTGTCCTGCAGAAGAGCCGGGATGATAGTATTGAACGCAAAACTAAAATCCACAAACAGAATGCTGGCGTAGGATCCTGGGAGTCCAGGTGCTGCAGGATGAAGTGCAGGAATCCTCAAGGGTTGGCCCTGATGTTCATGAGCTCTTCTCTGGTGTAAGAGCTCCCAGTTAACGAAGAAAACAAGACAAAACAGTGCGCACCAACACACTGTGACGGCCATCCTCGGCCCCATCTTGCATTGAGATGAAGAAAAATAGGAGGAAAGAGAAAAAAAACGTTTGAACCGTAATCATGAATGGTCTTCACCGATATAGCGCATTTCTACCTTAATGGTACTTGCTTCACAATGTGTTTCTCATTCACACATTCATACAAAAATGGCGACAGAGCAAGGTGCCTGCCTGCCATTGGGAGCCATTGGGTTCAGTGTCTAGCCCAAGGACACTTTGACATGTGAAGGGGTAGGGGATCGAACCACCAACCTTGGGATTAGAAGACAGTCTGCTCTACCACCTGAACCACAGAAGGTTGCCGGTTCGCGTCCCGATGGGGGCACCGGAATCTTTCTGTGTGGAGTTTGCTTGTTTACCCATGCAGCGTGGGTTCTCTCCGGGTTCTCCGGCTTCCTCCCACAAGGTCCAAAAAAATGTTGAGGTTAATTGGTGATTCTAAATTGTCCGTAGGTGTGAATGTGAGTGTGCTTGGTTGTCTGTCTCTAAGTGTAGCCCTGTGATAGACTGGTGACCTGTCCAGGGTGTCCCCTGCCTTCACCCGAAGTCAGCTGGGATAGGTTCCAGCCCCCCGCGACCCTCATGAGGATTACGCGGTGTATAGATAATGGATGGATGGATGGATGGATCTAGACATATATTTACAGTATAAAATCACAATGGATTTGTATTTCAACAGTTTTTATGTCAAAACATTTCAGTTGTTTAAAAAAAAAAAAAAAAAAAAAAAAGACATTTTAAGTTCACGGCAACAGGTCTTTTAATTTGTGTAATTTTTGAAATATATTTTGTGTATTAAAAAATATGAGAAAAATCAGTAAAATGGTGCTGCTACATATATCATCTACACTGTAGTTGCGACTTAAACTTCGGAGTTTCAGTGAATGAACTGGATCAAATCTGGGATGTTCCCCTCTTGTAGATGCCACTGCCTGAGGCCCTTTGAGGGTTAATCTCCCTGTAAATGTAATCAAATGAACATAAATACATGCGGAGCTAGTCCATTACCTAAGTAGTACTATTCTGATTGATTCTAGCCTACATTTCTTTGACCTAATCCCATAACTTGACAAAATATCATCAAGCCAATCTTTACTTTCAAAAGATGGTGTATACATTTTGGTAAAGGAACTTCACCACATGGTTTACATCTATGCATTTCATAACAGCTGAAAGCCCTCATATATCTGTGCCGTACTTGGCCTGATGCACCTCTTTCATCGAGAGCCTCTGACTTAATTGTAGCTTACAGTGATTTCATTGTCGCTTTGATTTATCTGGGGACAATGTCATACCGTCCCATCCAAGAATTTCATACAATAATTGTGTGGACCTCTTTTTACTTTGTATG